CAATATATTATATTATTTGTTCACTTTGTCAACATTAAAATTTTAAGAGAAGGGTATGGAAGAGAACCTTCAAACAAACTGTCAAACTTCCTTGAATTGTTGTTTCTTTTACACATTTTTTATTTTTCTAATATATATATATATTTCACACACAGACTTCTGTTAATTCAGATCATACAGTATGCTATATTTGTGTAACAATAAAAGATGATTTTTGTAAATTATACTTGATTTGGTCCATTATGTTGTCACTATTATGTTTTCTCCTTCATGTACATATAAATTACTGGAAAAGACCACCAATGTAAAAGCAGTTCTCATCAACTCTGCCTTTGCTTTTCATCTTATTAGGTTAGACAGCATCTGCAGTGATATCAGGACACAGAATGAGATCGGTTACACCTGTTCAAGTAACTTTCTATCAGATTATTACAATGCACTTTTCATGGGATATGCAGAAAATTCAGTTACTTCAAAACAGATCTTAGATTACCAGAGGGTCAGTACAGTCAAGTGACACCTCCAGTAAATAAATCTGGGCAAACAGCTTCAAGGGAACTCAAATTTACAGTGGGGCCCACATGCAGCATGACCTTTGTTGGAATCCATGCTTTGGTGATTTGGTGCCAGACTAAAGCATTTATCTTCTCACAGGCATTTGCACAGTTTAGTTTTGGATTTAACTATCTGTTTTCACCAGGACGGTGGCATTTAGATTTTTCATATTTTTATTTATTTTTTTCCAATGCTACAAATATATCAGTTGTTAATGCTTTACTATTTTATTATGCTTTAATGTAATAAAACTTTGGCTAAAGATTAAAAAATAGCAAATATCTGTAGAATAGCCATAAAGCATAATAGCAAATGAAACCCTTTCTTATAACTTTCCGCTTGGGAGTCTGCTCACTCCTAGTGCTACAAGTATTCCTCGACTTATGACTGGTTGCTTGGCAACTGTTCGAAATTACGTCCAAAGGCACCTATTAACCTGGTTCCAAAGTTCTGATGACTGTGTCCTCCCAGTCATATGAATGCATACCAGATGTTTCTCAACCAGCCACATTTACTGCTATTTGCAGTATCACACAGCCACATGATATTTTATACGTTTTTGCCTGTAAAACTATATTTACTTCTAGTTTTCAGCAAAAATGGCCCATAGCAAACAATGTTTGCTTAATGAATGCAACATTTGCTTTACAACCACTAGAAAAAAAATATTGGTCCAGTCACATGGTGGTATCACAACATGTAATGGCAGGCTCCATTATGGTTGTAAGTTAAGGACTGCCTGTATTCACTTCTTAAATCGCCTAAATATTACATGTACAGGTGAACAACCTATACCTGGAGATGCATGTGCTGCAAAGAATTTGGTTCATAAAACTGTTCACAGTTGTCCTTTTTTGCCAGCTATCAATGGCAAGATACTAAGAAATCTGACAGCAACTAACAGTCAGTTGATTATCCACTGCATAGGCCATGGGGTGGCTAAGAAAAAAAGGGGAAAGAGATGGTATTTGAAAGGGGAATATGAACATATGCATGTACTTGTGGTTTCCGACTTGAGCATCTCTGTGGCTTTCAGGACTGAAAATATTGTCCACTTTTGCCATCGTCACTGAATTTGCAACCTCAATCTATAGGGTGTACTTAATTTTAATTGCTATGTTTATTTCTGGGATATTAATAAGACCAGCAACATTACGGTAAATACATTTTATTATCCAACAGTTGGGTATAAGTGTCAGAAAATTATTGTCAAAACCTAAACAAGTATTATTTCGCTTTATATAGAAAGTGTGTGCACAGGAACTTTCTGACTGTGGCGAGTTTAAAAGAGAAAAGAAAATATTCTAATTAACATGCGGAAGGACAATTTGAGGAAACAGTTGCCTTTGAAATATACTAAAAGGGCAGTGTGCCAAAGTGAGAATGCCATGGTGCTGCTTATTTATGAATGATTGATTACAATTAGGAGAATGTTAATGTCATAGCATTGTTTAAAAAAAAGGGAGGGGAGGAGGAAATGAAAATAAAAGAAACATTTAAAGAGATTAAAAACAGCATTGAGTGCTCTTCTAAAGGTAATAGCTGCACTAATTTTATATTTATATTGGGGCCCCAAGACAGGTGGCAGACTAGGTCTTCAGGGTCTTTCGGAAAGCCAGGAAATGGATGTGGATCTCCCCTTGAAGGGCATGATGTTTCAGAGGGCTGGAGCCGTAGCAGATAAAGTTCTTCTCTTGGATCTGCCAGCCAGTCTTCCTTGACTGATGGGATCAGTAGCATGCCCCTTCTGCTGGAGCAGGTAGGGTGCGCTAATCCCCTCAGGGTGAGATAGTTCCTCAGATAACCTGGACTTATGCCATGAAGGGCTTTAAAGATGATAACCAACACCTTAAATTGGAAACAAACTGACAATCAGTGCAGCTCACAGAATAACAGTGTAGCATGGGCCACCCTAGGGACCCTAAGAACTATTTGTGAGGCTGCATTCTGCTCAAGCTGTAGCTTCCAAATACTCTTCAAGGGTAGGCCTACGTAGAGCACATTGCAATAGAAGTAGTCCTTGACTTATAACAGTTCAGTGACTGTTCGAAGTTACAACGGCACTGAAGAAAGCGACTAATGACCATTTTTCACACAACTGTTGTAGCATCCCCATGGTCATGTGATCAAAATTCAGACGCTTGGCAATTGACTATATTTATGATGGTCACAGTATCCTGGGGTCATGGGATCACCTTTTGCAACTGGTTGACAAGCAAAGTCAATGGGGAAGCCAGATTCACTTAACAATCGTGTTACTAACTTAACTTCAGCGATTCATTTAACAACTCTGGCAAGAAAGCTCATAAAATGGAGCAAAGTTCACTTAACAATTGTAGCAACAGAAATTTTGGAGTCAATTGTGTTCGTAAAATTGAGGATTACTTGCATCCCAAACATTAAATAACCAGGGCTTGAGTACTGAGCACAGGGACTCCCAATCCGGAAAAGGGTGCAACTGGTGCACAACATGAAGTTGCACAAAGGCTCTCCTAGCCACAATTGCCGCCTCTCTGATTAGGAGTCGCAAGTCCAGAAGAAGCCCTGAATTGTGCACCAGGTCTATCTGGGGGCAGTGCAACCCGATCCAAAACCAAATGTTAAAGTCCAGATCTCGAACTCCACATATCCAAAGCCCCTTAGTTTTACCAGGATTCAGCCAAAGTTAAATAGCAGAACAGAAATGCATGGAACAGCATTTCTCCTGAAATGTGTGCCTGCTTTTTGAAAGATGTTAAAAATTTGGTATTTTAATCCGGCATTGAGTTGAAAGTGGCACATATTTTTGTAAGCTGTTTTGGTTACACTTTTATACTTTAGCCTATTGTGTGATCTTTGCTGATTTACTACTGTTTATTGATCATGCACACTGCCGTGAGTTATGTGCCAGCAGAGTGGGCTTTATAAGTGATTAAACAAATAAGATGGCCCATGCCTACCTGGGGTACAGTACCTATTTTGGTAAAATAGTTCTGCTTACATTTATGCATTTTTTTTTTTGTTTTAGGTATAGAGTCTGATTCAAATGGGAGACTTTCTAAATCTAAATTAGAAATAAAGAAATGGGGTGTATTTAAGAAAGCAACTGGCAACCACTGTATCTCCTTCCACACAGGATGATATGGCATGTCTATAGTGTCACTTAACGTAATAGAGCCTGACCATTAGTTACAAGCAGAGACAGCCATTAAGTAAGACAGCCTCAACAACTTCCTGATGCAGTTGTTAAATGAAAGTGCTAGTATTGAGCACATGGTGCCTTAGGGATGGGGGAGGCCCTGGGAGGCCACATACAGAGATACCCCGGGCTCGGGTACTCAGCCCTTGGGCTCCTCACGATCCATGGGCCTGTTTCTTCACATTTAACTGTATTATTTGTTTATGGAATAAATATGCAATGTTTTAACTCAGGGGTCTTCAAACTTGGCCGGTTTTAACTGGTCTGCAAAGACTGCAGAAATGCAGATTGGAAGAGTGCTATAAGAAGGTAGCAAGAACAAATGTAAAAACTACATTACTATTTGCTTAAGCACTCTGAGAAGGTCCTTGGCAGAATTTTTATTGAAAAAAACCACAATAAAATTTGGAAATGGGGGGGGGAACTTCATGCTGAGCTAGGGTACACAGATCAGTTTTGCTTTTTAGCAAGCCATTGGGAAATATATGCACACAAGAAAAAAAGTTTATGTGCATTTGCTGATTTAATCAAAACATACAATAGGCTTGCATCGTGGAATTTTTGCATGAATATAAAGACTGCTGAATTATATCGCTGAACTGCTCTATTATGTTGCCGAATATAAAGAAACATACAAAGCATATATTCCACGACACCATTCGCGTTTTTCGTCACCATTAAATGAATTTAATATCAAATTAAAGCATTTTAAAATTTTAATTCCATTTTAAAGAATAAGTAACAATGTTTTATTAATTCTATACTGAAACTAAAAAATAAAATCGGTGAAAATCCCGATGATTATTGATCTTACTTATATCAGCACCACAGCCCCCCTAAAAGAGTCGACGCACAAAACAGTAAAAGTCACACCTCCATTTAAGAATGAAGGAAAACGCTATTCTTTTCGTTGGGAAATATTTCGATCCTCCTTTTCCATCTGGTGGGAAGCCTTTTAAGGTAACAGGAAAAGTTGACTTGTAACTTGGCAATACGTAAGGCACATAAGGTTTGGGTCATTCTTTAGTCCTCAGGGAAGGGCGAAGGGATAAAAGCCAGGTCTGGGGAGACTCAATCCTGCCCGAGGGGCAAGAGGATCGCTTTCCGTTCATTGGCTGGAGACTCGATCGACTAAAACCGGCCACTGGAGAGAGTTGGACTCCAAGCGCTCGGAGAGTCACGTGCCGCTCCAGGCCCCTTTGCAAGGCTGGGCCCGCTCATCTGGCCGGCCGCGCGAAAGTGGCGGTCACGTGACCGCGCTGGAGACGGGCTCGGGGTGCCGCCGGGCTCGGCGTGCGTGCTCTCGGACAGGCAACATGGCGGCTACCGCGGCAGCCCGGGTAGCTCTTAGGCTCTTTCACCATCGAGGGGGTTTAGCCCCGGCCTCGTCCTCCCTGGGCCGCCTGAGCCCGAGGAGCTGTTCGGGCCTGCTCGCGGCCGTCAGAAGATACAGTTCCGAAGCCAAAGGACTGGAGGAGGAACTGCGGGTTCGATATTTGGACGATGAGCATAAAGGTAACGGCAATAGCCGGCGTGGAAGGCGCGGGGTCTTTTTTTTTTTTTTTTTAACCTGTCGGTCGGCCCGCAACCTGAAACTCCATTTCCCAGCTCCAAAGCCATCTGCCCCTCCCTTCCCCCCCAGTTCTGCCCAGCAGGTAAGGCTTGGATGTCCCTTTTTGCTTGTCAGCAGCGGAGACTCGTCTAAGAGACGCGTCCATCTCCAATTAACTGTCCGAAATGATGAAGCTGCCTGACCCTTTAAATTCTCCCGTTGGTGGGGGCGGGTCGCGCGAGCTGCCTGAATCATAAAGCGCATGCGCAGCTCGTTCTCGACTGCCCTGATGTTGCCTGTTAACAGCCGCTGGTTGGGGAAAGCCTTTAAGCTAGTTTAGGAGATTGGGGAATACGGGGGATGGGTGCGTAGGTTGTAAGATCAGGATGTCCGATGTGCAGACTTTGAAAGCCCTGTGTTTTATTTGAAGGTGGCATGTCTTCTAGCTGTTCATATTTCTAAAAAAATACAGTCTATAATTCTTATTTGAATTCTTATGTTCTGCGTATTTGAGAATGCAGAACGTCTTGGAAAAATATGCACAGATAAATACTCAAATCATCTTGAAATCTGAAATTTATAAATATATCAAGAATTTCTGCCCAGTCCTTAAACTAAAAGCACAATAAAGTCTATGTATTTTAAATTGAGTTGATTGGACGCACTGATACAGATATACTGATTTCTGTAGTGATGTACAGATTATCTTTTGAATATCTAATACTTTTGAATTTTACAATATATTCAGAGATCAATATAAATGATTATTTTAGATACGTGAAATGAGAAAAGTGCACTTCGAGAGGAAAAGCATTAAAATCATGCTTTGTGAGAAAATTCATCTCTAATTTTATGTTTGCTTTAATTCACTTTTCCTGCCTTTTTAATAAACGTGGAAGATTGGGACATGAAACACATCTAGTCTGATTTCTAGTGTATTATTTATAGTGAATAGAGAGTTCTAGATTAAATTTTCAACTAGTCATGCAGCTGTTGAGAGGCTGAGGTGCATAAAGTATGATTTTCTTCTAAGGGATGTTGACTTTCTTAAGCATTTTGAGTATAATTTATTTCATAAGTATATAACAAATCTGCAATTGTATTTTTGTCTGAAGAACTATTGGTTTGTAATTTTGCTTTTTTGCCATTTCGTATTGTTTTTCTTTTATATTTTTGGAAAGTAGTTTTATAGTACAGGTAGTCCTCGACTTACAAGAGTTCATTTAGCGACTGTTTGAAGTTATAATAGCACTGCAAAAGTGACTTGTAACTGGCTTTCACATTTAACAACCATTTCAGCATTCTCAATTCCCCATGGTCACATGATCAAAGTTCTGACTCTTGGCAACTCATATTTATGATGTTTGCAGTGTCCTAGGGTCATGTGATCATCTTTTGTAACCTTTTGACAAGAAAAATCAATGGGAAAGCCAGATTCACTTAACAGCTGTGTTACTAACTTAACCATTGTAGTGATTCATTTAATGACTGTGGCAAGAAATTCACTTAGCTGTGAGGCAAAACTCATTTAGCAAATATCTCACTTAGCAACATAAATTTTGGGCTCAATTTTGGTCATGTCGAGGACTACTTGTATAGTGGTTGATCTTAAGTATTTACTCCTTTAGAACTTGTATTTTATTACTCTGTTATTTCTAATTTATTTTACTTTCCTTGTTATTTTGATAAGATATTTTTATACAGTTTTTATATAATTCGGTCACATAATCATATGCTGTTTTGGTTAGAGACATAATAATGTTCTGTTCTGAACTATTTAGACAGTCACTATATGACATATGCCTATTATATTTTATTTATTTGGTAAATAAATAGCTGCTCAACTCACATACATGACTCTGATATACGTTAAAAACAAGACACAGTAGAACCCCCCCCATAAACAACAACAAAACTTATTTCAAAACTGTAAAAGCAATAAAAATTATATAAAACCAAACCATAATCTGCATTGGTCCCCTAATCCATTTCATTATGATTTGGGCATGTAAAAAGAAATAAAACTAAAGGTCTCATTTAGTCTGTCGTTACTTGACAATGGTTATGCTGCAAACGTGATATGACCCCAAAGGGAAAAATGGAGCAATAATGTAGGTATAAATAAATAAATAAATAAAATAATTAAATAAATAAAATAATTAAATAAACAATATAAATATAAATTAAGATTCAATATGTTAAAACAAATTTTGTGTTTTAGAGGGAACCTGTTTTCTCTAGTTTCAGAAGGAGAAGGTACATTCTCAAATATACATTTGCGATAAACTCTGTGCATTAAAAAAAGGTCTGAAAATTGCCTACTTTTTGTTGATCGGACTTTGGAAAATATAAAAAGCGAACTAATTTAACAAGTAAACAGATTTGTTCCAAAATATTCCTCAAACTGAATTTAATTGACATTTGTCAGTTTCAAGTAAAAAATTTACACAGTAGTATGAACTTAACAGTTTTGCTTTTGAAATCCTAACTCTTAACTTTATAGAAAGAATAATATTTCAAAAGAGAAAGATGTCAGTTGTTTGGAAATAGACATTCTTCTTTGTCGCCATCAATTATTGACAGTGAATGCTCTATGCCTAATTGCTATATAGGGGCACTTGGTAGGACATTTTAGGGAGGAAAGGCAAATCCACTATAACACAATTCTCAAAAAACTATATGATATAGACTCCCATTCATTAGATGTATCAGTTACACACATCTGCCCTTTAACATTACTCCTTACAACTCTTCTCTGTAAGAATGTCCATTTTAGTAACATAATAAATGGAGCTCTGGTAGCGCAGTGACTAAAATGCAGTATTGCAGGCTAACTCTGCCTACACTCTGCAGTTTGATCCTGACTGGCTCAAGGTTGACTCATCCTTCCATCCTTCCAAGGTCATTAAAATGAGGACTCAGATTGTTGGGGGCAATAGGCTAACTCTGTAAACCCCTCACAGAGTGCTGTAAAGCACTATGAAGCACTATATAAGTCTATGTGCAAATGGTATTGCTAACTCTGCCCACAGCCAGAAGCTTGATCCTGACTGGCTTAAAGTTGACTCGGCCTTCCATCCTTCCAAGATTGGTAAAATAAGGATCCAGATTATTGGGGGCAGTATGCTGATATTTGTAAAACACTCAAAAAGTACTGTAAAGCACTATGGAGTGGTATATAAATCCAAGTACTATTGCTATAATGGAATTATGCTTATGTAAAGCTAGGTCATAGAAGTATTTTTAATGTTATCAACACATTTACAGCCTTTATTATAAATACTATAATATGTATGTAGTCCTTGAGTTAAGAATATAATAGAACCTGCCCATTCCATTTGTAACTCGAGAATTCGTAGGAGTGAATCTCGTATCTTGAACATGATTCACTCCCAGCTTTTGCCCATGCATTCGCTAATTTAATGCATGGGCGAATGCACGGCTCGTTAAATTAACATGAGTATCTCACAGGGCGAGGAAGGCCATGGGGGGCCTAGTGATGGAACAGGCCACCAGCTTCAGACCACCCAAGTCCCCCCACTGAGATACTTCATGCTTCTGCCCCTGGGGTCCAATAGTTGCTCTCCCCCCCCCCAATCCTGCCATACTGGGTCATTTACCTTGTGAAGGTCTGTCTCCTCTCCAGCCTCTCTGTTTTTTTCTCTGCTCCCAGCAAGAGCAGAGGGAGGCCTCGGAGGCCCAGAACAGGCCTCTGGAAGCACATGGCTGCAGCCCACAGACTCCGTTCTGGGCCTCCAAAAGCATGGGGCTACCGCCCATGGCCTCCAGAGGCCTACGGAAGCACCCCTGGCCTCCTTTCTGGGTGGCAGCAGCCTGGAAAAGGTCTTTCTGATGCCCGGATCAGGTCTCCGGAGGCACGCAGAAGCCTCCCCCAGTTTCTGTTCCGTTCTCTGTTGCAGAGAACAGAGGCCTAAACTACCGTGAAATCACATGAGATCAGTAGCATGAGACTCGCACCACTGATCTTGCGTGATCTTGCATTACTTTAGTCCTCCATTCTTTGCGAAAGCACCGAAGGCCTGAGCAGCCAAGAAAGCAAAGAATCTCTCGATCTTCACAACGTGAGTATCCATAGGCCTAGTGCCTAGGGAGACCCGGGGTGGCAGGGGGGAGGCTGGGAATAGCCAGGATGAATGTTGCAGGGCCACTGCAGTTGTTCGTAAGAGTGAACGACTGCTGTGATACGGCAACATTCGTAAATTTGGGACTTTTTTATAAACACTAGGGGGCATTTATTGCATAACTTAGAATGTTCACTAAAGGAATGCTCGTAACTTGGGGATTACCTGAACTGTATATGTTTTATAATACCCCAAATTATTTAGTATAGCAGTTTTTCAAATAAGAAATATATTAAAATGTATTTATCAACTAAGTATTAATTGTGTATTTTCATGCAGTAATTATGATAGCTATTTTAGGAGGTAAGAGACGTAGGTGCATATCACCTAAATTTTCAGATAAATGCCCAGCAATAATTATTCACATAAATTCCTGCATTTTCCCCAAAAGACAAAGACGTCTTAAAAATATAGCATTAAATGTTTTAGAATGCTTAACTGAGTCTTGTAATTTTTTTTGTCCTGCATACAGGAATTGTTGTACTTGGAATAAACAGAGCACCTGCAAAAAATGCACTTAATAAAAATCTTATTAAAATGGTAAGTAAATGAACCTTTAGCTAATTATTAATGTGGAAAACTGAAAATTAGTGTTGATACTGTCCACACCTTTTCTCTGTAGATATCAAAAGTTATGGACGCTTTGAAAACAGACAAAAAAGTACGGACAGTTATATTCCGAAGTGAAGTTCCTGGGGTATTTTGTGCTGGTATGCAAACTTAATTTTTATTATCCATCTGGAAATCCATAATCTATTATACTCAGCAGAAATAACTCAGAATCCTTTATTTGGGAACTAAATATAGATAAGTTCTATGTCTAAGTAACATTTGCTATGCCCTTAAAAAAAAAAGTTCCATAATATATAATGAGATATGTAGACTGGAGAGCTTTCCTGACTTTGCGTGTGTGTGTATGTGTGTTTAAATATCTATATCTGTGCAGGTAGTCCTCAGATGATGACCATTTGTTCAGCAATTACAAGTTACAACAACGCTGAATGAGGAAGACTTAAGATATATCCTCGGAATTAAGCCCTTGCCATGTCCCTGAAGTCATGTGATCCATATGCTTGCACCTGGCTTGTGATTATGACCTCTCAGTGAGCCACAGTCACACGATTGCAATGTCCAGCATTCCCCGATCGCTTCCTAAAAGCAAAGTCAGTGGGGAAGCTGGCAGGAAATTGCAATCATGTGAGGTCCTGACTTAATGACCCAATGCTTTATATAGCCTCTCATCACATTCATGATTCTGGATGGCTTATATTTAAAACATAAACATTTAAAATTGCCATTCTTTTAAGGACAGCAAATATTACTTCCATAATTGTCATTGTTAAATGAGGCAATCATGTGACTTCACATTTTATGACAGTGATAGAGGTCCCAATCTCAATTGCCATCGTGATCCATGGACTGCCTTTATCTGTTTTGAACTGAAGCCTCTAAATATTCCTCAGTAGGAATTAATTAGGGCCTGAGCATAGAAACCTCCTGATCTAGGATTGGGCGCGACTGGAACACAAATGAAAGCTGCACAAAGACCCTTCTAGCTACAACACTCACCTCTTCAAGCAACAGTTGTGACTCCAGAAGATATGCCCCTCCCCCAATTGCATATCTGATCTGCCTGGGGAAGTGCAGCCACGTATAACTTAGAGATCAGTAGCTCTAATAGACCATGACAATCCAATATAGTATCTGAAATTAAGCATTGAAACAAGATCTGTCAAAAAGGACAAATATGGTGAATTTTGTATCTGCATTGTCTAAAATTAGAAATATATTAGAAATATATTGTAGATTTCTAAAAATTGTTAGTTAAGGGTGTTTTATCTGACTCTTCAGCTGCATCTTTGGAGCATCTTATGATCAACAAGAAGCAACACTTTCAAACCAGTAAAGAAACTTAGGCAACCTGTGACTCACTGGATCACTGTTTCAGAGATATTTCCTTACTTAAACAGAGATACGGAATGACAATGGACAACAAAAACTCAGTGGGAGGAGGAGTGATTTTGAGTTTCTGTCAGCTTCCCCATTGAATTTCTTTGTAGGAAGCTGGCAATGAGCATTGGAAATCTCCTCTTCCCTTCCCTGTCCTGCCCTGCCCTTCCTCACAAAGAATTGTGTGATTGGCTAGGAAGCTGTTAGGGAAAGTTGGAAATGAAGATCACATGACTGTAACAGTGTGGTGGCATTACTGAAGCAGTAGTAACTGGCAGCGCTGAAGCATCCACAATTTCCCCAAATTTTCATTCCTTTGGGGAATAATGGGTCCCCGCATTCTGCAAGTTAGTCATTTTAGATATCTTCGTTTTAAAAGATTACAGACAGAAGAGTTGTAATAGTATATGGGTGCAATAAAGAGCTACAGAAGAGGGTTAGCTTCCTCTCTTACTAATCATTTTACAGTGTTAGATTTATATTGAAGAAAGATTTTTGAAGTAGAGGATCTAGTTTATAGCAGCCAGTACTGTTTACTCCTCATATTGGGAATATCTACTCAGTTCATTATTTTATGTTGCTACCATGGTATGACATCTTCTCTCACTTTTTAAAGTTTCAAAATTTAACTTGAGCCTTATGCTCAGATAATTCAGTATTATTTAAAGTACAGTGTTACAGTAATTGCATATTCATGCAGCTCATCATTATTAATTTTTATCCATTTTAGCTAAATAGCAATTGTAAAGGCAGTACATATTTTATTGTAAGTGTAACTAATGGCCAAGGCAATAGTTTTGAAGAGACTCTTATTTCTGTTGCCATAATTTTAGCAGAGGACTGCTGAGTTGTGTAGGCTGAGAATAACCAGAACATATCATAACATTATTTTCTCTTCTGATGCCACTGACTTAGTGCTTTGTCAGTTGTTTAAATTTTCTGATACTTTAGCTTTGATTGCTAGATATCTAGATAAGAATATAAAAAAGGTATATACTCTGCTATTGTTGCTATTAATTAGAGGCAGAAATTACATAGCTATTTGTAAAATTATTCTGAAATTGATTTTGTAAGAAAACGTGTGAATTTCAGAGAATAATTTCTTTAGATTATGTAAACCAGGGGTGTCAAACTCAATTTCATTGAGGGCTGCATCAGCATTGCGGTTGCCCTTGGGGGGCCAGGTGGGTATGGCCAGGGTGGGTGCAGCCTACTGGATGGGTGTGGATGGAGTGGGTATGGCCTACTGGATGGGAATGGCCAGCTCTACATCGTTCACATCAAGGGTGCCTGTTGGGGCCTGGGCAGGAATGGGACAAATCTGAGGGTCTCTGGCAGAAGGGGGTGGGACCAGGGCAAGCGCCAAGGCATGGTGCATTTCTTCATTCCTCACAAAGGGTGACACCTCCCAGTATGCACTCGGGGGGCAGGGCCAACGCGGCAGGGGCTGGTTCCTCGCTGTTTCTGGACGGCCTTGTGAAGCTAAGACGGAATGCATTTCAGCATAGATGGCCACCACAAAATTGTACATTGGCTCCCGGCCAGCCTGGGCCAGGGCCGCAGGGGCCGTTCCCTCACTGTTTCCAGGATGGCTTCGCGGGCCACATGAAACCACTTCACGGGCTGCATCTGGCCCCCGGGCCTTGTGTTTGACATGTCTGATGTAAACCTTATTTTATGTCTTAATAGAGCTGTTAGATATGATCATAAAACTGCAAACATTCAAACTGTTTGCAATAGTGGCATATATCTGTAGCTTGGGTGTAGGATGAGGGTAAAGGTTCTTTCTCTGAGCTTGTGGGTTGGTTTCCGAATGTTTCGTTACCACGCTAACATCTTCAGCGGCGTTTAGGTGATGTGCTGACACAGACATTCCCTAAACGCTGTTGAAGATGTTACCTAAGGCTGGTAACGTAACACTCAGAAACCAACCCACAAGCTCGGAGAACGAAGAACCTTCACCCTCATTCAAACGTTCTTCCATCTAATAATTCTTCTAATTATAATCTTTCCATAATTGTACTCCTCAATTTCAAATCCAGTGAAAATAAGTTAAATGAAGACTAATATAATAATCATTGAAATAGACAAGATAAATTGAATATTTTTCATTTCTTCAATTAGGGGAGCATATAAATTATATATCAGTATAAAATACTGTAGTAAGTCTTATGTCCTACTCCAAATGCCTGATATAAATCTGGTATCTCTGAAAATGTACAAGTGGCACTTTTTAATCTAGCTCTGACTCAGATTTTTTTTTTACTTATTTTTTTTTAATCTTGGCAGAAGTAAAAATGACTTGCATCATTAATTTTTGTCATCTTGGACTTTTAATATATGTGAGTGGGATAATTATATGAAATGTTTCAGTCACATTTAATTATGGATACACATGCATGTGGGCTACAATCATAAAACTTTTTATATAGCTTTTACATAGAAAACTTGTTTTTAATTTAAATTTAAATAACTGGCTGTAGAATTAGTAAATTTCTTCTCTTGTTACATTGACTGTATAAAGCAAAGCCTCTTAAGCACTCTAATGGAGTGCTTTGTCTCAGGAGAGATTTAAGCATGAAATTTGAAACAATTATTTTCTGGTGTTGGATAAAATGTATGACTTTTATAAATCATTTGTTGGATTTTTTAAGAAGACATTGTGTTCCTTATTTTCATTTTCCTTATTTTGTTTGTAAAATTATTCATTCTGTCATAACATTCAGAAGATAGGGTCCTGTTTACTGTATAACACCAAGAATTAGAGCTAGTTTTCAGAGTTATCATGAATAAACAAATCCCTTTTTACATTAACAGTTGCATCTGTAAATTATCTTGATTTGTTTTATTAACTTTCTCCTTTGTTTTGCCCTTTATGAAATAAGGACTGGTTTATTTCCATGTTTTCTATGAAATATACATATAAAACATGCAATGAAGTACGTTTTAAATACTTTGTAAATTGTATAATTTTTTTTACTTAATATCCAAATATTTGTAAAGAGGTGACTGAGTTTTCACATCTTGTCAAGAAATAGATTTACATTTACATTTGTTCCATGTTGCTTTTCCTGAAAGTATGAATGGATTATGCCATTTTGGTTTATTTCACTATATTGCCTAGCTCCCAGCATTCCTAGCCAGTGTGACCATTCATGAAAATGCTGAAGTTCAAGCATTTGAAGGATATTTAGGTTGGGGAAGATGGGTTGATTCAAATAGAAACTATGATGGTATTTAAATATGACCAGAAAATGTCATCTGCAGGTGCTGACCTTAAAGAAAGAGCTAAAATGCATGCTAATGAAGTAAGCTCTTTTGTCTCAAAGGCAAGATCCACTATTAATGAAATGGGTAAGTACAAGTCTCATTGAAATATTGCTGATAGCTAATCAATCATGAATAGTAGTAGTAAGTAAATTCTCAGTGATCAAAAAAGCCTGTTTAAATTTTCATAACTCTGTAATAAATTAAGACTAATTATCATCAACATGACAAAGATATATATAATATAATTGTCACTAAAGAATATTAATTTTCTTCTACCTTTTTCTGCTGTTAGATACACTCATATTGAATTGAGTATAAATAACCCCTCTAAATATATAGACAGTTAATTGAATTTATTTCAGTTGGCAAGTAAGTTAAACTCTCAAACAATTTCAGTAGGGTCAAAACAAAAAAAAATCAAAATGTTTCCTACAAAACTTTCATCAGACACTTCAACTGACTGTTAAAACAAATGTGTTCATTTCTGTTGATGATGAATTAAACTGGATTGAGGGAGATAGTCAGAAGGAGTAGAGCCCAAGGTATTTCTTTTTCAACAGTATCAGAATATTATACTAGTAAATAATTCAGAGAGCTTACAATTATTTTATAATTACATCTCAAACTGTCAGTTCTGTTTTTTATTTATTTTATTTATTTGTTAAATTTATTTGCCGCCTATCTCGCCATGGGGCTACTCTAGGCGGCTTACAGTAATAAAAAGAAAGAAAAATGAAAAGAGTGTAAACAGAAGTAAAATAATAGAACAGAAAAATAAACAATGAAAAAGGAAACAGTGAGAATATTACATCAATGTGATAAGCAAAAAGATGGATGGGTAGAGACCAGAGGGCAGGGGAGGATGGAGTCTGCCATCAATCTAGCAGCCACCTCTGTTCATGGATCTATCACTGAACATGCCAGTTGCTAGATATTCTTTTGTAGAGAGAGAAATTAAATTAGAAGGAATGTTTCCAAAAATTCATAAAACGTTTTTGATAATGTGGTTAAGAATTAATATTGTAGGTATGCTTGAATATGTATCTGTTGTTACCTAAAATTGGAATGGCTATTTTTTAAGTATTTCTTGTCCTTCAGTAATAATTTCCTGTTAGGATTGAGTCAGTTAACTTATATTGAAACAAGCAACTAAGTAAAATTTACATATTCACTGGTAGTATAGGTGTGTGAATGCTGGTGACAAGCAATGAATAGGGTTGTTATTTTCATGCCCTGCTTATGTGTTTTCCAGATCTCTATTAATAACACAATTTTCATCTGATCCTCTTCATCTTATAGCTCCTACTTAAACAAAAGGTGGAGTCTATAGTCTTGGCTGTTTGGAAATGGAGTGGAATATAAATTAAAGTAATAAAGTAAATAACTTCCATATGTGTTAGTTTCATGGATAGAACAACATACCGTATTTTCCGGCGTATAAGACGACTGGGCATATAAGACGACCCCCAACTTTCCCAGTTAAAATATAGAGTTTAGTGAGAGAGGGGGGGGAGAAAACTTGATGAGTAATATGCCAAACCACATGTGTAAAGGAATAAAATAGAATACCCGTATTTTCTGGCGTATAAGACGACTGGGCGTATAAGACGACCCCAGACTTTTGAGAAGATTTTCAGGGTTTAGAAAGTCGTCTTATACGCCAGAAAATACGGTATCTATTTTGATTTGCATATATACAAATCAGGAATTGCTGTTTTATCATAATTGCTCCTTATTACAATTAATTCTGGTATCTTGTTCTTTTTATTGCTGTTAATACCCCAAATATCTCTGTAGTCAGAATTTAGTTTGCAATTAATATTGGAAAGAAACAAAAAAATGCTATTAAAAAGAGTTGCCTTTAGACAAGATGGGTAGCGCATAAATTAATAAATAGAAATTTTGTAAAATTTTATCTTAGAAATATTGATAACTGGCTGAAATTATTTTTGTTAATTTTTCCTTTTAGCTAATCTTCCAGTACCAACTATAGCTGCAATAGATGGCATTGCATTAGGTGGTGGCCTAGAATTGGCTCTAGCCTGTGATATAAGAGTGGCAGGTAAGATTTAGTCCTATTTTTAAAATTAAAGCATTCTCTAAACTTTTTTAGTTCAAGTGTAGAGAAAATGATTTCTTAACGTTATTTTAATGCAATTTTGAACTGTGATAATTGTTATAATAGTTACATTAGTGTTAATATGAATCTTTCAATATTTGGATCCAGAGTAAATGTATTTAACTAATATAACAATTTTGTGATTTGTGTCATGAAAGGATTGTTGCTAATAAGTACAAAAGAGGATAAAGAAAAAGGAACAAGTTAATGAAGTGTTCATATTAAGACAATCATTTCCACTTTACAAGAGTAGGTGAAGGATTTTTAGCATGTTAGCTATCTTGGAAACATTCTCCAGCTAGGAATATTGGATGGCGGGCCAGAGATGGTTGCCCAAAACTGGAATGGATTCTTCACCTCTTGTCTCATTCAGATACAGAAAATTACAACATTAATAAAACCAATGTTGAAAAAAGGTAATCAACCTTTGTCTGTGCAGCGGTAGATCAGGCTTTTCAAGGCTTTTACCAAACAGTAAATCTAGGCAAGATAATTGTATGATGGATATTGTTCTGTAGCCTTGCTCTAAATGAGGAAGTTCACAGGAAGGGAGGATGAATTAAAACTTCCTGTAACTTCATGCTCCCTTTGGAAGCAGTGTTTTTAATATATTAATACATTTATATATTGCTTTTTTTCTTTGCATAAGCAACTATGTTGGTTTACAGCAATTAAAAAATAAAAATATAAACAATAACTTCAAAAGCAATAGCAATATATATGCCAATTAAAATATTTAATCATTGTACTGTTCAGTTTACTACAATTTGCCTAGTTCAGCTGGAGATCAATATATTGAAAAACTGATATATATAGAAGAGTATTTTAAATAGCTGTATATTGTATGTAGAACAATAGCTGTACAAAGAATTTTGTTTTCCTGGGTATGAAAACATTAGAAAATCATGACTCATACTGGCATTTTACTGAGAACAGAAATGAATCTTTGCAATGGGCACTATACAGGTTGATTTCCTACATCCTGCATGCTTTTTCTGAAAAATGAAGGGCTACAGAGCCTACTGAGAGAAAGTTTTTCCCCATACAACCTAAGGCACAGTGGGATTTGTTTTTGGTTACTTAGTAAACCATGGCTTAGTGCTGAAGTGAAACATAGCCATTGACATTCTGCTCTTTTCAATGCTTTCACTTTTATCCAAAACTGTTACAGTGAAGTTACAGGTTATTTTACTAAGTTCCTTTTATTTTCTCTAAGTAATTTGTAGGCTTTTCAAAAACCAACTTTTTTTTGTTTTTTGTTTTTTAGCTTCTTCTGCAAAAATGGGTTTAGTTGAAACGAAATTAGCGATCATTCCTGGTGCAGGTATGGATTTTTTTTCATAATTATGTAACTGTTCTTTATGAACTTTTTTGTTATTCTCCATCTCTTGTACGTTGTCCAGAGGCTGGTCAGTTTTGAACAACAATATTTTCATTCTGCATTCCAGGTCATGAATGTACTTAATATAGTCCTGCCTCCTATTTTCACCACAGCAATAACCCTGTGAGGTTGGTTGGGCTGAACCAAAGTGACTGACCCAAAATCACCCAATTGGTTTTTATTCCTAAGGGAGGTCTAGAACTCACAGTCTCCTGGTTTCTAGGGCCAGTATATTAACCACTTCATCAAATTGACTCTGAATACAGTTTTTCCATATCTATTATTTGGTAACTGTCATAATGTTGTGAGTGTCTTACCAATTTATGAGATCTAAAATGAGTAGTCATGGAGAATGGAAAATGAAGCCAGGTTGGGCTACCTACCTACTCTTAGACTGTATGGCATTTTGCCCTCTAGTACTATTGTACGAGCAACATGTGGATATGCATGCTGCCCATTTTAGCTTGTGAAGATTTTTAGCATGAGGGAACAACATAGAAATGCACCCCTTGGTAATTGGCCTGCTACTTAGTTTTCTTCAGTGCAGCAAAAGTCCCCAATTTATTCAAAGGGGAAGGAGAAGTTGCACTTCTTTAATTTTCTTCCTTTGTAACCCTTGACTTAAAACCACAATTGGGACCAGAATTTTCATTGCTAAGTAAGGCAGTTGGTAAGTGAGTCTTGCCCGATTTTATGACTTTTTTTTGTCACAGTTGCTAAGTGAATCATTGCAATTACTGTAAGTGAATTACACTGACCTTAAGCAAATCCAGCTTCCCCCATTGACTTGTCAGAAGCCAGCTGGAAAGATTGCAAAAGCTGATCACATGACCCCAGAATTGCTGCAACAGTTATAAATACACGCCAGTTGCCAAGTGCCTGAATTTTGATCATGTGACCGTAGCTATGCTGCTATGGTCATAAGTGCGAGGACTGGTCATAAGTTACTTATTTCAGTGCTGTTGTAACTTTGAACAGTCGCTAAAGAAATGGTTGTAAGTTGAGGACTACCTGTAGATACAGTTGCACTGGCCAGATGATGCTTAGATTTGGCTGATGAACATTGAAGATCCTATCTTAAGAACATAAGAGTTAGAAGAAAGGAGAAACAGACTTATTCTATATTGTTTTGTCTTGGCTTCATGAAGAAACTATAAATATGAACTATTTCCTACTTCAGTGAATAAGGTCTGAAATGGGGACATGAAGAGAAAAAAAATTCTGACTGTTTATCAACCATACATCACTTTTCTTCATGATAGGTAGCTGAATATTTTCTCTTTCAATATTTATTACATCTGTTTATCATTTGTCTAATGTTAAATATTTCAAAGCTTGATGAATGTGAATAATGTAAAAATAGCTGGTTTGTATAGTTATAATGCTAATCTGTACCTAAGCTAACAAAAGGAGAAGGGTTTGTACCAAAAAAAAGAGAAGACTGTTTTCACCAGGATGTCTATCAGTAACTTCATGGCAAAATGTTGGAATGAGGTTGCCATTTCATTCTCTAATAGATACTTTGTTTATGACATGTCTCTAGGGTGAACTGTGCAGGAATATACATCCCCAATGATAATAGCAAGCTGCACAAACTCCTTTATTACCACATGGTAAAAATTCATGAAGGTTCAGACTGGCCATTGAATTGCAAAACATAGTATGTGGTGATTTACAGTGGGGGGGGGAATTATTTGATCCCCTGCTGATTTTGTATGTTTGCCCACTGACAAAGAAATGATCAATCTATAATTTTAATGGTAGGTTTATTTTAACAACAAGAGGCAGAATAACAACAAAAAAATCCAGAAAAACGCATGTCAAAAAAGTTATAAATTGACTTGCATTTTAATGAGTGAAATACGTATTTGATCCCCTATCAATCAGCAAGATTTCTGGCTCCCAGGTGTCTTTTATACAGGTAAGGAGCTGAGATTAGGAGCACTCTCTTAAAGGGAGTGCTCCTAATCACAGCTTGTTACCTGTATAAAAGACAACTGTCCACAGAAGCAATCAATCAGATTCCAAATTCTCCATCATGGCCAAGACCAGAGAGCTGTCCAAGGATGTTAGGGACAAGATTATAGAACTACACAAGGTTGGAATGGGCTACAAGACTATCGCCAAGCAGCTTGGAGAGAAGGTGACAACAGTTGGTGTGATTATTCACAAAAGGAAGAGACACAAAATAACAGTCAATCTCCCTCGGTCTGGGGCTCCATGCAAGATCTCACCTCATGGAGTTTCAATGATCATGAAAACGGTGAGGAATCAGCCCAGAACTACACGGGAGGATCTTGTCAATGATCTCAAGGCAACTGGGACCATAGTCACCAAGAAAACAATTGGTAACACACTACGCCATGAAGGACTGAAATCCTGCAGCGCCCGCAAGGTCCTCCTGCTCAAGAAAGCACATGTACAGGCCCGTCTGAAGTTTGCCAATGAACATCTGAATGGTTCAGAGGAGAACTGGGTGAAAGTGTTGTGGTCAAGTGAGACCAAAATCGAGCTCTTTGGCATCAACTCAATTCACCGTGTTTGGAGGAGGAGAAATGCTGCTGATGACCCTAAGAACACCATCCCCATCGTCAAATGTGGAGGTGGAAACATTATGCTTTAGGGTTTTTTTTCTGCTAAGGGGACAGGACAACTTCACCGCATCAAAGGGACGATGGACAGGGCCATGTACCATCAAATCTTGGGTGAGAACCTCCTTCCCTCAGCCAGGGCATTGAAAATGGGTCGTGGATGGGTATTCCAGCATGGCAATGACCCAAAACACACAGCCAAGGAAACAAAGGAGTAGCTCAAGAAGAAGCACATTAAGGTCCTGGAGTGGCCTAGCCAGTCTCCAGACCTTAATTCCGTAGAAAATCTGTGGAGGGAGTTGAAGATTCTGCTTCCAGACCTCGGCCTGGAAACCTTAATGACCTGGAGAACATCTGCAAAGAGGAGTGGGACAAAATCCCTCCTGAGATGTGTGCAAAGCTGGTGGCCAACTACAGGAAATGTCTGACCTCTGTGATTGCCAACAAGGGTTTTGCCACCAAGTACTAAGTCATGTTTTGCAAAGGGGTCAGATACTTATTTCACTCATTAAAATGCAGATCAATTTATAACTTTTTTGAAATGTGTTTTTATGCATTTTCTGTTGTTATTCTATCTCTCACTGTTAAAATAAACCTACCATTAAAACTATAGATAGATCATTTCTTTGTCAGTGGGCAAACAGCAGGGGATCAAATAATCCCCCCCCCCACTGTAGCACTGTATCTTTTTTGGAGCTGTGAACTTAAGAGGATTGACATGTTTCTTGAATGATACAAAGAGGCACTTACAAAATCAAAGGATTTTTATATACAGAATTTAAGTAATTATTGTAAATCTGGCTCTGACTATTTGAGTTCATCATTAATTTGAAGTCTTGATGTTGTAATCAAATTATTTCTCATCATTACTAGTTTGTATGAAAACTTACTTTTATTTGCTTTTTGTATTATTTGAAAATGTTTGTTTTATGCTTACAAAAATAAATACCCTCAAGAGAAACGGTAATTATATTATAGTATAGAAAGCAGATGTTTGAACAGCCAATCTTATTTTCAAATAATTACACAATGTATCTCAAATGCAAATAGAGGTGAATTAATTCTGTGTCTATAAATTAAGAAGAATAGTGTGGCTTGTATGTGTTTCCTGTTTGCTGTCCCAAAATAGAATTTGATTCACATGAATTTCATTGTAACTGATTTAATAAATCTAGCAGTAGTTCCTCAAATGTTCTATTATCTGGTTTTTTTTAAAGCTCTTGGCATTATATAGCATGTTAAAATACTTTTCTAAGACGTATCGATAAACTCCCTAGAATTCTTAGTTGTACTTGGAATAAGTAATATAATATCAGGTGATTTTAATTACCAGTCTTGCTGGTTCAGGGTATTAGCTTATTTGAGTGGAATTTGGTAAATATGAGAAACAGAATCTGTTTATATTATCCTTTCTATACCCCGGCAAAACTGACCAAAACCCTTACCCCAAGTTTTGGTGCAGATCAGTAGTGTTAGAGAAGGGGAGGAAGTGGGTGGTAAACACCAATTGATGATGTTTAGTAAACCTAAGCAATATTGGTGGATTCTTGATTTTGAAGCTTTTAATATATGTATTAGTGCAACTGAAAAATACAGCTATTGAGTGAAAGCCTTCAAAGTACAACAACATAAATCAACACCAACATCAACATACTTTGAGTTACAGCTGAGTTAGCATAACCATGCATTTAAAACATAGATTTTCTTTAGTCATTATAGAACATGAAGCATGTATTCGGAAGAACAGATTTTGTAGAGGTGATGATTATCCATTTTGCAGGTCAATTCTTGACAGCTCATATAACAGGAAAAATTATCTACCCTTTCTCTGTTGTTTTTTCTGCAGGCCACAGTGCATCACACTTTATGTTTTGTATTGTGGTATATTTTAATTTAAATATGTGGTTTTGTTGATGCTACTGTTACTTTAGTTTATACATAAGACACAAAATATAGTATTGTGGACTCAGGTAGTCCTTGACTTAAAACCACAATGGAACCTGTGATAATCTTCCTTAACTTTTTATTCTGAACAATAACCTAGTACTGCAAAGTAGCAGTGTTCTCAGCAAACCAGTATGATGCCAAAATGACAATACATGCACAATGATGTCATCACATAAATGCTACCTACCTGCTTTGGAGAGAGAGTGTGGAGGATTGTTCTGAATTACAGAAAATCAATGTATACATTTTACATTTGGTTTGAATGATGCAAACTTAGGTTATTAGTTTTTAGCAAGAAAGCTTTCACAGAATATTCTGTTTCTGAAATTGACCACTTTATGAATTCTCTATATTCTGGAAGTGATCTGAATTTGAAATAAGCTGTTTAGGCGTCAGGATGACCCA